GGCAGATATAAGGAAGTGTCCACCAGCATCTGAAGAAGCAGAACTGAAGAAGCAGCTTGGATGAGCTGAGGAACGTTTTCAACTTAAACATTTGTCTAGATGACAAATTGAATTTCTTCTTTTGCTGTGGATTTTACCTGAGTGACTGAGGGATTCTACACATAAACAATGTAAAAAGTGTACATCACTGTGTCACTTTTCTATGGAGATGTAACGCGTTCTAGACAAAGCAACACTGGAAAATAAACAATATCGAAATGAGTTAAAATGACTTAAATTAAAAACATTTGACTTTATTTCAGTCAATTCAGCTTGACACCAATAAGTGGATAAGTGTGTTTTTCTTTATTCAAGCAACATTCAATTTAGTTTCTTATTTTAACTGCTCTGAAACTAACACACACACACTTGTTCAGTTTCTGTAAGTTAGTTAGGATTATTGAAACCGAGTGTGGGTCATATTAGCAGAATCATTCAGAGCCTTAAGAGGAGCTTTCACACCTCTGGGCCCGACCTGAGGCTCTCATTATTGTTTTCTTTGTTTGTTTTAGGTTTGAGGATGGAGTTGTAAACAGGAGACAGATGGAGTCCGAGTCCTCCGTTTCTGTTCAAAGATGGATTCTGTTTCCTAACAAAAATAGTCACTTTAACTCCCCTCTCAAACCATTTATTATCTCTGGCTCAGATCTGTACCTCACTGTCCCCAAAGGAGCAATCTGAGGCTTTTTAGGTGGAGATGTACAGCAGACTGAGGTCCTGTGTTGCTCTCTTGTCTGTGTTGGTTCATCTTCTTGTGAAGTGTCTGTTTTGTTTCTCCAGTGTCGCTGCAGTCTTCACTACACTGAAAGGAGGAGACCACATTACTTTGTTTGTGTCTCGGTGTTTTGTTCTTTGGTTGGACCAGTTTCTGTCTTAAAATGTTTGTAGGTTTGAAATAGTCTGGGATTTCATGTTGTCTGAAAACCTTCTGTAGTTTTCAGAAACACCAACCATGAACGGTGCCTTCAATTTAAAAAAAAAAAAAAAAAAAAAGACAACAACACAGAATCAAAATGCAGGTGAAACGGTGTAACTCTTCCTTACATGGCTGGTTGACAGGTTCAAAAGTCTGTTTATGCGACTAAATTTACATCAAAATTTAATAATCTTTCTATATCTCTGCTGTAATTAGTGACGAGGTTTTGGATATTTGGACTTCACTGTAACACTTCATGAATTTAGGAACTAACATGAAAATGTAAAGGTCGTATTTGAAACAAAATGGATTCTTGTGAGGTTTAAGGCATCATTAACAATAACAAACACTCAAAAACACAAGTCCTTGGTTTAGTCCTACTTTAAACCTAGTTTGGTCCTGGTGTAGTCTTGGTTTAGACCTGGTTTGAACCTGATTTAGTCCTAGTTTAGACCTAGTTTAGTCCTAATTTAGTCCTGGTTTAGGCCTGGATTGGACCTGATTTCGACCTCGTTTGGTCATAATTTAGACTTGGTTTTGTCTTAGTTTAGACCTGGTTTAGATTTAATGTACTCCTGGTTTAGTCCCAATTTAGACCTGGTTTAGTCCTAGTTTAGACCTGGATGATCAGAAAATAAAACACTATTGTCCCTTTAAAGCTGTAATTTGTATTTTCTTCAGATAATTCAGTCAGTTCTTCTTTATCTTCATCATAACAAACTCTCGCCTTGTGTCTCGTGTCTCGGGTCGTGTCACCGAGTCGTCGGCTTTACCTCAGGTCGCTTCTCTTCATTAGCTTCTTAGCGGCTAATCTAATATCTGACCAATGAGCCCTGACCGCCGAGAAATACACTGACGGATAAAGACTACGCTACGGCGAGCTAATTCAATTTCACCTCCGCTGCTCCTGCTCCACCACTGAGTCCACCGAGTCCACCAAGTCCACCGAGTCCACAACCGAGTCCACCAACCCCACCGAGTCCACCCCACTAACCCTGCCACCATGCCAAAGCTAATGCAGTCGAGTCGGGGTGAGACGTGATGCTAAGTGCTCTAACGTGAAGTCGCTGTGTTCACGGCCCATTACTCACATACATAAACCCCCCGCGCTGGAACGTTTATGGTCCAGACTTCTCTGTTTCCCTGAGACAGTCTCAGTTTGTCCCACAGATTTACACAAAACCAAAAACCAAAATTTAAACGAGAAATGTCTTAGTGTCTCTATTTTTTACCAATTTGATCTAAACCAGGACTAAACCAGAACTAAACCAGGACTAAACTAGGACTAACATAGAACTATTTCAGGTCTAAGACAGGTCTAAAACAGGACTCTTTCAGGTTTAAACTGGGACTAAATTTAGACTAAAACAGAATTAAACCAGGACTGAATCAGTGTTAAACCAAGTGTTAATTTGGACTAAACCAGGTTTAAACCAGGTCTATTTCAGGTCTAAATCAGGTCTAAATTAGAATCAAACCAGGTTAAAACTAGGACAAAACCAGGATTAAACTAGGTCTAAATTAGATCTAAATTAGGACTAAACCAGGGACTCAACCAGGTAAAGATCTGGACCAAACCAGGTCTAAGTGAGGACTAAACCAGGACTAAACCAGGTCTAAACCAGGACTATTTCAAGTCCAAACCAGGACTAAACCACACTAAACTAGGGCTAAAATAGAACTATAATAAGTCTAAACTAGATCTAAACCAGGTCTAAATTAGATCTATTTCAGGTCTAAACCAGGACCGAACCAGGACTAAACTTTGACTAAACCAGGACTATTTCAGGTCTAAACCAGATGAGTGTATCTTCAAATCCATCAGACTCTTATGTATTTAGATGAAACTCTTTTTTTCACAGTTTCACACAAACGTCCAAACCCGGCGTGTCCTGTTTTTTTTTTTTTTTTTTTTTTTTTTTATTCTGAGTTTCCTCTGGCCCTGAGCTCAGCGGCGGCGGCAGGTCACACCCGAGAGCGCGGCGGCGTCTTAGAGGCATCAGTCAGTCAGTGCGCCGGTCGCTGCTTTTACGCTCCATTACTCACACACACAAACCCCCCGCGCTGGAATGTACACACATGTTTACATAATGACGCAGAAGAAGAAAAAAAAAAAAAGGAGCTGATGGAGGAGATGAAGGAAGCCGAGTCTGTTCGTTTTCTCCCAGAGGCGCGGGAGAAAATAGTATAAAGATATTAAAGCCAGATTTAAGCGGCGCTGAAATCTGACGAGTTTAATGAAAAGACCCGATTTAGCTCGTTAACTCACCCAGTGTGATTTTAAAGACTCGACTCAGACTCTTCTGTGGGACACGGTCAGGGTTTACGGCTCACGTCTGTGGAACCGTCGACCGGAGGATCTGAGGTCGACTGCAGGTGTTTATATTTCTAAAAATAAACTCAAAACTCGTCTTTTTAATTTGGCTTTAATCAAAACTAATTTCAATTAAATTCACTTATTTATTATTATTATTATTATTATTATTATTATTATATTCAGGGTTCCCACGGTCATGGAAATCCTGGAAAAGTCATGGAAATTGAAAATGTCATTTTCCAGGCCTTGAAAAGTCATGGAATTTTGTAAATTCAATGGAAGTTTTGGAAAAGTCATGGAATTTTAGTATGTCTTTCTTTTTCTTTTTCTGAACATCTGTGCTTTTTGTTTAGACCTGGTTTAGTCCCAGTTTAGACCCGATTTAGTCCTAGTTTAATCCTAATCTAGACCTGGTTTAGTCCCAGTTTAGAACTGGGCTTGAACCTGGTTTAAACCTGGATTAGTTCCACTTTAGACCTGATTTAGTCCTGGTTAGACCTGGTTTAGACTTGGTTTAGTCCTGGTTTAGACCTGGTTTAGACCTGGTTTAGTCCTGGTTTAGTCCTGGTTTAGTCCTGGTTTAGTCCTGGTTTAGTCCTGGTTTTAGTCCTGTTTAGTCCTGGTTTAGTCCTGGTTTAGACCTGGTTTAGTCCTGGTTTAGTCCTGGTTTAGTCCTGGTTTAGACCTGGTTTAGTCCTGGTTTAGACCTGGTTTAGTCCTGGTTTAGTCCTGGTTTAGTCCTGGTTTAGTCCTGCTTTAGTCCTACTTTAGTCCTTGTTTAGACCTGGTTTAGTCCTGGTTTAGTCCTGGTTTAGACCTGGTTTAGTCTGGTTTAGTCCTGGTTTAGTCCTGATTTAGACCTGGTTTAGACCTGGTTTAGTTCCTGGTTTAGTCCTGGTTTAGTCCTGATTTAGACCTGGTTTAGTCCTGGTTTAGTTCTGGTTTAGTCCTGGTTTAGTCCTGATTTAGACCTGGTTAAGACCTGGTTTAGTTCTGGTTTAGTCCTGGTTTAGTTCTGGTTTAGACCTGGTTTAGTCCTGGTTTAGACCTGGTTTAGTGGTTTAGTCCTGGTTTAGTCCTGATTTAGACCTGGTTTAGACCTGGTTTAGTCTGGTTTAGTCTGGTTTAGTTCTGGTTTAGTCCTGGTTTAGACTTTGTTTAGACCTGGTTTAGACTTTTTAAGTCCTGGTTTAGTCCTGCTTTAGTCCTGGTTTAGTCCTGGTTTAGTCCTGGTTTAGACCTGGTTTAGTTTTAGACCTGGTTTAGTCCTGGTTTAGTCCTGGTTTAGACCTGGTTTAGTCCTGGTTTAGTCCTGGTTTAGACCTGGTTTTAGTCCTGGTTTAGTCCTGGTTTAGTCCTGGTTTAGACCTGGTTTAGACCTGGTTTAGTCCTGGTTTTAGTCCTGGTTTAGTCCTGGTTTAGACCTGGTTTAGACCTGGTTTAGACCTGGTTTAGTCCTGGTTTAAAACCACATTTTGTTGTTTTATTTAAAGTTTTGTCCTTCAAATTCCATTCACACTTTATAAATCAGATGTTACAAACTGGCAGCTGCTCTTTCCTCATCACAAACACATCTGGACGTCTTCTGTCAAACCACCTTGTGATGTCATCATGTGGTGACACAGGAAGTGCTCCACTGTGTTTGGAGCTTTGGACAGACTCATAATAAAGATTTACTCAAACATTTTACTCACACATTTGTCTCTTTTTTTTGTTTTTCTCTCGTAGTTCGTGGCGCAGCCGAACTGTCAGCAGCTCTTGGCGACGCTGTGGTACGACGGTTTCCCCGGGTGGAGGCGGAGACACTGGGCCGTCAAACTGGTCACGTGCTTCATCATCGGGCTCCTCTTCCCCGTCTTCTCCCTGGTAAAAACTCACACTAAATCACACTTTTCTCTCTGACCCGCTGGAGTTCTGTTTGGAGCGATTCATGTTTGAGTAGAGTGACCATGTTTCCACACTTTACCGACGGTGTGGGGCTACAGTCGTCCCTCGGTTCACCTTTCGCGGTCTTGCCGTTTCGCGGATACTTTTTTTTCTTTTTTTTTTTTGTGTGTCAATTTTGTATGTTTTTTTTGTTTGTTTGTTTGTTTGTTTACACACGGGTGGGTCAGGACTAAACCAGGACTAAACCAGGACTTAAGAGAGAAAACGCCAGTTCTTTCTCCTGCATCACCTCCGAGCCCGTCCTGACAGTGAGTCCTGTTTCAGTTTCAGTCCTGGTTTAGTCCTGGTTTAGTCCTGGTTCAGTCCTGGTTTAATCCTCCTCTTCCGTCCTGGAATTGGTCCTGGTTCAGTCCTGGTTCAGTCCATGGTGTAGGCAGCGCAAAAGTTTGATATAATCTCGGGTTAACGGCAGGTGCGGGTGGATGAGGGCAGGTGCGGTCCTGTCCTGCGCAGGTGCGTGTCTCCAAAAATGGCCCCATGCAGGACTCTGCGCTGTAGGACTCCATGACAGAATAAATTAATCTTGGGTTCGTTACATAAAGAAGGAGGAAAATAACAAAAGGACGACAACAGCGAGAAGTTTTAAGTCTGAGAAAAGTGTGTAAAGTTTGTGTTGAGGTTTTACAGACTTAAAACAGATTAGAACTAGAAAAGCAGTCAGAGAGCGCAGACCTCCGCCAAGGACTGCCCCCATTTTTTATATAAACTGCGATAAAATCAGTCTTCTGGATCAGATCCAGATCAGCCTTTGGAATATGAAAGAGGATCCCATTGTCCATCCCTGAGTCAAATTTCATGGGGTTTGGTCAATAATTAACCCAGATATTGAGAAACAAAATTTTTGGCCCCATTTACCACAATGTTAACTAAAATTTCAAAGTGATCCAGAATCCAGGATTTCTTCCGGATCAGCCCCAAAATGAAATCAGTTCTTCCTTTTCACATTTCCAACAAATCCTGAAAATTTCATCAAAATTTGTCCATAACGTTTTGAGTTATGTTGCTAACAGACAAACAAACAAACAAACAAACAAACAGACAAACAAACAAACAAACAGACAAACAAACAAACAAACAAACAAACAAACAAACAAACAGACAAACAAACGCCGGCAAAAACATAACCTCCTTGGCAGAGGTAATAATTGTAAAATATAAAGTTGACAACTTTGTGGATTTCACTTATCGAGGGTTATTTTTTGATCGTAACCCCCATGATAAACGAGGGACACTGAACTCTCACCTCACAACCTGTGCACATGGACTCACACTTGTCCCGACCGAGATGGAAAACGGAGAATTTCTTGTCCAAGTCGTTGTTAAATGTGCATTTGCTCTTCGGTGAGTTGCAGACTGACCGACTGTTTGTGTCTCGCTCCTTCAGAGTCACAGACGCTACGAGAGACGCTCAGTTTAATGCCCCAATGACCAGAAATGAAAACCCGGACATTTGCATCACTTAAAAAAAAAAAAAAAAAAAAAAACGGACGCCCAGGACATGCAAAATACAGACATGTCTGGGGAAAAACGTTTGGTCACCTGAGTGTGAGGCTGCTCTACCTCAGCCCACTCCCACATCCCTCTCACAAATCCAAAGAGACGTGGATCAAAGTCCCGAGACACGACTGGACCAGGACCAGGACCAGGACCAGGACCAGGACGACACAACGAACATGAACCGAACCACCAGCATTATTTTAACAAGAAGAAACGACAAACATGATCCAGGAACCAAATTCATTCAGCTTTAAAATCAGAATAAACCGAACACTTACGTCACAATTAAGTTTAAGTGTTTACATGGACTTTTTAAAACGGAATTCATTTTTATTCAGACTTAAATCATTTTTATTCGGAATTAAAGCTCTCATGTAAACGTGGCTTTTGTTTTCTGTCAAATTACTGCTCATGAAGTGTGTAGCTGCACTTTTAAAACCGTATCCGGACAGTTTCATTTGTAAAAGTTCATGATCAACAAGATAAAAGGCTGCAATGAAATCAAAAAACTAAGTCGTTTTAGATCAATTTTGCGATTTAACGTCTCAATTATAACAGAATGATTAAATATTTAACATTTCTGTCTCATTTTTGTGTCTGTCCTTTGAAAAAAAACAGATTTTATGACTTGTTTAATATTTTATCTTTCAAATTACTTTAACTGTTTCGTCCTGACAGTTTCTCTTGAAGTTACTTTTACTCGAGTACAGTTTCTGATTCTTCCTCTCACCTGTCGCAGACGTTTTAACGCTGTTCTAACGTTGAGCGGCGGCGCGGAGGTCAG